ACTCCTTCAATCCGACCGGCGAACTCTTGAACTTGGAGTACACTTTTACTTTACATATGCTCATCTTCCATCTGATGATGCTATTTTCTCTTCATCTCCTGTTTTAGTGATGCACTTATGATCTGCTGTACAGTCGCTTCTGCTGGGCACATTCGCTGTTGAATTCACCATGGCATGATATAACACCACACAACCGATGTAAGAAAAATCACAGAAAAAATATTAATTTTTCGCAGAGTCTCAGTTCACAGCAAGACAACAACAAGTTCCCCCTCCTGTGTTGGAGTCTCCTCGCACATCTACCGAGGAAAATACACACACATTGCACCGGAGTGCAGGTATTGCAGAGAAAATCAGATAACAAAAAAAGTGCACCATGTGACAGCTGAAGACAGTCGAACATTTTTCATCTTTCAGTGCGCTTTTTTCGCCGCCCCCGTGCGGAGAAAAGAAAGAGAAAGTGAGAGTGAGGGGCGCCAAGCATTCGATTTTTGGGCGCAAAGAAAGTAACTTCGCTGTCCTGCTGTGTGCTGTCCTGTGGCTTGTTGTTTACTTGTTGTGTTGATCTTCGATCATCTCGCTTCTGCTTTTTCATCCTCTGCTCTTATTTTCAAGGTAAGCTAAAAGCTTCTTCTGTACGGCACGGCAACAGGCAATCAACATGATTCAGGTACACATGATAATCGCGGCATTCTTCTCCTTCTCGCTTGATCACATGTCATCAAGTCACTGCAAATTGTGTAGTGGGCAATCGATTCCCTTTCATTCATCAAGTAAATATCATCATCATCATCATCATCAAAGTCGCCGTTGTCGTCGCCGCCAATCAGTTCTCGATTGACGTTGCAGTGGCACTTCTAATCACCGCCAGTAGTAGAAGTAGGCTTGATCGCTCAATAATGGGCAAACAAATTAGTAACACTGCAGGTGCAAACAACTAATTTACTTCTTTTTCGTCGCGCACTTGATTACACTCCGTTGAGGTGATTATTTTCAGTTGAGTTTTCTAAATCCCGCTGGCTAATTCAATTACTTTGTTGCCTGCTTGTTTGTTTCAGCACTTCGTTCATCAGATAAATTGATGTTTTTCGATTGGAGATTTTCTAGTTTAGCCAAAAAGATTTGCTTGTGGGTACACAAATATCTGAAAGGGGTTGTTGATCATGCTAGAAAGATGGCTGGTGGCAACAACAAAAAGCAGCCTAGCACAACAGGTTCACGTAGAGATGATAGGCAGGAGAAGGTGTATGCACCCTCGTCTTGATGATCAAACGTGTTTTTCCCAGTGTGTTAGTTGGTCTTTTTGTAGAGATTTAGTGTGTTCTAGCTTCACTTGAACACGGCACTACGCTTTCCATCTTCCTTCACCATCATCTCGAAGGCGTTTTCTCTCTTCGTAAAAAGGCTCTTTCTTCAGCAAGTAAAAGTGAAATTGCAAGTGAGATCTCTTCAGTGCTAAACCACGGAGAGGGCCACTTTGTGTCGAAGTCACATCGACCATTCACTTTTTCTCTCTCCCTTTATCTTTTCTTTCTTGTTCTTTTTTCTTTCTCTCTTTTAACTGTCTTCAATCTCGTCCTGTTCTCAAGTTCAAGACTGCAAATCTGGAGAAGAGAGAAGATGTCTCACCAAGTGGCATGAAGGAACTCGTGCTCTGTGTAGAGAAAAAAATTGAATCAAAGTCATTTTTTTCTGCATGAAAGAGAAAGCACCTACATTTCGCTGTTTGTCCAATCATCGTCTACAACAATCATCAACAGGAGCTCTTTGCTCTTCATGGAAATGTGCGCTGCGTTTTGAAAATGTGGTAAAGACGCGCAGATCAATCAACTTCGGGATTCTTTGTTTACCGGGAAAATATCGCGCTTTTCACCGTTGAGCGCTCACGCACAGCTGATCAGATGTTGTTATTGTTGTTGTTGTCGCTCCCGTCGTTGTCGTCGTCGTCAGCTACGCCCACTCTTTAATCAGGGAAACATCGACGTTGTTAGCCCCGCCAGCTGGACTGTACTTTCCTTCCATCATCGCCCTCTAATTGTTTTCCGCCATGCCAGCGTTAATTATCACCTGCCACACCTGACACTTCTATTCCAGAGCAGCCGCAACAGCTTTTGCCTACTTACTAATTGTGGTTGCACTTTGTGCACTTGAACTTTTTCTTGTTTTGCTAACAGACGACATCAACAACGAACGAAACCTGTTACTTTCTTGAAAACATCTGAATTTAGCTTCTTTCAAGAAACCAATCTGCCATTTGTACAATGCCCCCGCCACACAGTGCCGACGAAAATGAGAACCATGTCATCGCTTCAAACAGTGCAAGTGATACTGGCGGAAAAGTGCCTGCCAACGGAGGTAATAGCCACCTCCACCTGGTCGGGCCACAGTCGCTGGACACCTGCTCCCTTACGATGACCTCCACGGAGAACACCGTCCTCTCGGAGGACGAGGAGGACCCGGTGACGATTGCCTCCACGAGGCTGGCCTCCTCTACGACGCCCTCTTCCGCCAAACACCTGACCTGTGGCGGGAGCAACAGCCACCTCGAGGGCGGCTCACCTGTTCCCATGAAAGCTCAACTCTACCAGACGATTCGCCGATTCGTTTGGGTCTTTCCACTGCTTCTCGTCTTTCTGGTGCCCATCGTCTGCCTGACGCCGTAAGCGTTGTTCTTTATCCTGATTTTTAGTTTTCTAACTAATCATTTTCGCATCCCAGGTACCTGATGGCGATTCAGTATGGCCACGTTAACCCTGTTTTTCCTTACGTGTCAGACGCAGGAGGCCTGGTACCACAGGCATCATTTTTCTCTCAACTCCTCGACGTCATTTCCTTTTTCAGTAAGCACTTCCTGATTTTAATTTTTTTTGTTGCAAGTCCTTAATCCCCTGCTGTTTGGCCGTTTCACCTCACCACAGTTCTCATTACCTCATACATTCGCTACAAGANTTAGTTTTCCAACTAATCATTTTTGCATCCCAGGTACCTGATGGCGATTCAGTATGGCCATGTTAACCCGGTTTTTCCTTACGTGTCAGACGCAGGAGGCCTGGTACCACAGGCATCATTTTTCTCTCAACTCCTCGACGTCATTTCCTTTTTCAGTAAGCACTTCCTGATTTTAATTTTTTTTGTTGCAAATTCTTAATCCCCTGCTGTTTGTCCTCACCACAGTTCTCATTACCTCATACATTCGCTACAAGATGATCAAGCACTTCATCATGGTGAAGATGGCCAACTCTGCCAAGATGAGCCAGCGAATGCTCGCTCAGNATGATCAAGCACTTCATCGTGGTGAAGATGGCCAACTCTGCGAAGATGAGCCAGCGAATGCTCGCTCAGATGCACCAGCTCAACTTCTACGGCGCCCTCACTGCGTACGCTTCAGCCATTGGCGTCGTGATCATAGGCAACTTTCGCGTCACCGAGATGGCCTCCGGGCACTTCTTCGGCTGCATGTTCGCCTTCTTTGGCATGTTCATCTACATGTGCATTATGGTGCGTATGGAATTTTTTTCTTTTGTTTGTTTGTTTGCCCATGAGGAGATTTTTTCTCACCAAAACTTTCTTTCCCTTCTCATCATCAAACATCACCTACCTACCAACTGCTGCTAACTATTTTACTATATTCTCACCATACAAACAGAGCTTCATGTCGTACCAGCTGGCGCGATGTGGCCTCGAGACGAAGCCCTACTCCATGTCTGTGATAAGCATCACCGCCGGTGCCTCGCTCTTCTTCTGCCTCCTCTTCTCGATGGTGTCCATCTACCAGGCGGGCTTTAGCCGCTTCTTTGAGAACAGCTTTCGCCTGAAGTGGACGAAGAAGCAGGACGGCTACACCACACACATCATTGCCACTGCCTTTGAGGTTTGTGTTGATTGCTTTCAAAATTCAGTGAAACAAAAGGTTTAGCATTGACAAAACACTAATTCAATCTTTTTCTTTCCACCTTTTAGTGGATCGCCATCAACACTGTCGGCCCCTTCTACCTCTGCATCTTTGTGCGCATGAAACTGTTTCAAGACTGGGGCAAAGTGGAATTTTAAGTGTATTCGTTTTTCGATTTTAGACTTTTTTAAAAGAAAACCCTTTTTTACTTTTTTCGAACTTTTGGCTCTTTCGAACCACAACAATTGATCACAGCGGGTAGAAAGCTCCCAGACCTGAGCTGTTGACGATCACTTTAGTGAGCACCTTGCGTAGCATTGATCATCTCTTTCTCTCTTCCTCTCTTGTTCATTTTCTCAGCGTGTGTAAAGTGTCAGTGCAATCATCATGCCAAACAAGTCCACCCTGCCCTACTATGAGTCCTCGTCACTTAGCTCACTGGTCAAAACCTATCGCAGTGACTGCAGCGATCCAGTGGAGTTTGCGCGAAAGAAAGGCTACGAGGTGGTAAATATTATCGCCTCGGGAAGTTTTGGAAAGTAAGCAATCCAGTGTGAAGAATAAGAGGGCTTGGGGGAGTTATACTAATCGTCTTCTTCTTCTTTCTCTCCTGCAGGGTCTACCGAGTACAGACGAAGGTGCCACGCCGTGACAGCAGCGGCAGCAGCTCCGACGACTCGCAGACAAAGACGGTGAACCTGGCGATGAAGGTCTTTTACCTGGACGACGACAACAACCGCATGTGGGTGGAGCGGTGCCTGAAGAATGAGATGTACATCGCCAAGTACGTCAAACACCAGAACGTCGTGCTGACGCTGGAGGTGCTCAAAACCACCCACCACGGGTACATCTTCATGCAGCTGGGCGAGAATGGCTCCATCAAGTCGGAGCTCTTCAAGCAGCTGAAGCGCCCCTACACCGACGGCGAGGCGAAGGAACGCTTCAGTGGGCTGCTGCGCGGTCTGCACTACCTCCACTCGCAGAACATCGTCCACCGCGACCTGAAGCTGGACAACTTTCTCCTGACGGAGAAGAACGTGCCCATGATTGGCGACTTTGGCTTCAGCGCCCGCGCCAAGATCAAGGACATCGTCCTCACGCANCCTGCACTACCTCCACTCGCAGAACATCGTCCACCGCGACCTGAAGCTGGACAACTTCCTCCTGACGGAGAAGAACGTGCCCATGATTGGCGACTTTGGCTTCAGCGCCCGCGCCAAGATCAAGGACATCGTCCTCACGCAGCTCCACAAGAAGACCATCTGCGGGACGAAGGGCTACATGGCGCCGGAGATGTTTCCCGGCGTCAAGGCGGACTTTCTCAACGGCGGCTCGTCGCACCACCATCGTTCCCGAGGTCAAGATCAGCAGGGGCAGGGGCAGCAGGGACAGCCCTCCTCCGACTGGGCAGGCTATGACGGGAAGAAGTTGGACGTGTACGCCATGGGCGTCTGCCTCTTTGAGATGCTGCAGCTGCGGAAGCCCTTCGAGGATGAGACGACGAAGGAGACGATGGCGATGATCGCCGCCCACCAGGTGCACTACCACCACGGCGGCGCCGACGTGGAAGAAGCAGCAAAGGAGTTGATTGCCAGCATGACCGCCTTCAAACCTGAAGACCGTCCCTCGGCGGAGGAGGCGCTGAAGCACCGCTGGATCACCGGCCACGGTCACTTTGTCAGCGCCCTCATCAGTCGATTCTCATAGAGTGACACAGTGAGACAGTGAGACTCGGGCACTCATTCGCAAACAGCTTTATTATTATCATTACTTTATGGGGGCAGACGGGGGCAGACAGGTTGCTGCTGCCACTTGCCACATTGTACATTACACTGAGACACTGCTGTTTCTCCCGTGCACTGTTTGTGTTGATTTTTTGTGAATGATTACTCAGCTGAAGCACATGTCCAACCACCTCCAGAAGCAGGGACAGCAGGTAAGGTAGCCGTATTTGTCGGTGCATGGGCTGCAATTGGGGAAAGTTGGAGTAATGAATGAAAACAATTGAAAGTGTGCTTTACTAAATCATACCCTGAATGATCGTTGTCGTCAAAACTCATCTGTCGCCATCGATCATTGCCGTCTTCAATATGGTTGGTTGGTTGACTGCTGATGGAGGTTTCAAGCCCCAGCTTTTCAGTTTTTTGGTCTAGCTTTGAAGTTGAGTCTTTCTTTTCCATTCTTCTATTTTTAACTTTATTTGGTTGCTGGTTGAAAAAGACAACACCTCAAAATGAGCAGCAATAGCAAAAGATACAGTAATGCTTTTTTAAGAGCACCATAAAAAAAGACAATGCGATAGTTGTAACAAATGACAATTTGCAGTTGATAACGATTTGACTACGCCTTCAAGATATTCTTATTTTGCTAATATTAAAAACCAGGACACAAGATGGACACTAAAATTAATCCTCTAATTAAAATCAAACTGATTAAGATTTTCTTTACATGTACCTTAAAAGCTTTTGCTTTAACAAAGTAATTTTGGCGGCAATTTAAATTGGCTTTGATTTGGCCAGTGCAGATGGCACTACATCTTCTTTTNAGTACCTTAAAAGCTTTTGCTTTCACAAAGTAATTTTGGCGGCAATTTAAATTAGCTTTGAAGTGGCCAGTGCAGATGGCACTACATCTTCTTTCGACATTTGAGCGATCGAGNTACATTTGAGCGATCGAGGGAAAAAACAGCTGACCAAAACTTTCCCTAGATGATTCTTTATTATTGAAAAAAATATTTTATTCTGATCACAAAAAAAGAAGATAATTTACAATAACGGTTTGTTCGACATATCATCGGCTTCTTTAAACTAATTTTGTACATTTCCCCCTACTCTTCTAGGTAGTCAAAGAGCACCCCATTTTGGTTCAGTCTAGGAATGAGCAGCTGTGGATCGAGTATCGAGGCAGGCGTCACCACTCCAAAAGGAACCTTCAGCGGAGCACAACGAAACTGCTCGAGCAGCGTGAGCGCCGCATGGACCGCAATGGTGCTCGTGTCAATGTACGCCAGGTTGGAGCCTCGAATGAGCAGCGTGCCCTTCGCCGTCATGTTGCCCTGGTGCCGGTCACCGGGGGCAATCCCCTTTGGCCACCCCCTGCCCACCAGGCTGATGGTGAAGAGGTCGTAGGGCAGTGTGTCGTGGTTGGGCAGCGTTCCCTCGGAGAAGAAGCCCAGCGAAAAGAGGTGAGCGTACTGGCGCAGCAGTCGATCGCCCAGCGCCGTTTTGGAGAGCACCGCCAGATTGAGGTTCATCAGTGCGGTGAGGAGGAGGTGCCGCCAGGTGGGCATGCAGTAGTACGCCTCGAACTGCACCGGCTCCTCATTGAGCATCTGATACCGGTACAGCTGCGTCCGCTTTACCACCGAGCGGTCGCTGCCGGGGAAAGGGGCAATGTAGCCTCGATGAGAGTCAAGACGGAGGCGGTGCCGTTCTGAAGGAGAAAAAATATGAGAAACAATGGAAAGATACTTTTTCGAAACTTTAACTTACTCTGCACCAGCGGATAGTGGTACGGCCTGTAGAGCGGACCAAACTGCGAAAAGAGCTTTCGGCGCACCTCCCTCAGCTGGTCGGCGTGCTTGAAGCCCTCGATGAGCGAGACCCAGGAGGCAAAGCTGTATCGGTTGGCCGGGTGAAAAGCCGTCTCCAGGTAGTGCTCCACCGTTCCCAGGTGGCCACCGCCCCTGGCACTGAACTGCCCCTTCAGGTACTGCGTGCCCACGTCGGAGGGAATGGAATCGAATCCGCAGCTGCTGACAGCAAAAACCTCATTGTCGCGGGCCGCCTGGTCGTACTGCAGCGCCACCCGCTCCATGAACAGCGGCTCCCCGGAGAGGTCCAGGTAGTGGGCACGGGCGTCGATGGCCGCCCTCAGCACTGGCTCACCCAGCAGACTGTACGGGCCGATGCAGGACATCACCAGCTGGCCCTGGGAGAAGGCGCGCCGCATTGAGGCGAGGTCGGTAACGTCGGCCGCCAGCACCGGCACCTTCGCCTCCAGGTCGGCCACTCCGGTCCGGGCCTCCATTTCCCTCAGGTAGGCCCTCATCTTGGCGGGGCTGCGCACGGCAATGGCCCACATGGTCTGCTGGTGATTGCTGCTGCTCTTTTGCAACAGTGTCTGCTGTACCAGTCGCTCCACGACGTACCGCCCGGTGAAGCCGCTGGCGCCGAAAATAATCAGATCAAATTTTCTCATGGTAAAAAAAGAGCTTTTAGTTGTGGAATTGTGCAGCACCTTTAAATTTTTGGTGTTGCTGCTGCTGCCTCTTTTCTGTGCCACTGAACTGCCCACAGCCATTGAGTACACATGTACAGAGAAAGGGAGACACAAAAGAAGAGTGTTTACGCAAAAACAGACGACAAACAGCAGCGGAGGAACAGGACTAAAGACATTTGCGCGCACATTTGTTGATTGTTCAGTTGTGATCTAATGGCCAACTGGGACAACATGAAAAACATATAAAATGCATTTGATGTTGGGCAATGACAAACGACCAAATCTGAACGATGATGACTGCTGTCAACTACTGCAGACAAAATGATGAAAGTGGCTGTCAAAAGTAGTTTGGCGCACAACGATGATCCGCAGACATTCAGTGCGGGAAGAAGTGCACCGAAGGACACAGCCAGGACAATTGGTCTGCTAATTGACCATAAAACTTTAACATCAAAGTTGAGGAATGACTACTGTGGAGTTCTGTAACAGCATCATTCTATCTCTTTTCATTTTTGCCAAATCCGACCGCCAAACGCCGTCAGACCAAAAAGTTGAGCCACTTCAATGGAAATGACTAATCATCGCAGAGAATGGAGTTTGTAGTTCCGAGTTGGATGCCACTTCTTTGTACGGCAAATCACTGATCGGTACAGCGTTGAATTGTGCAGCACCAGTATTCACCAGTAAGCCACAGTATTTTTTGTTCTCGGCAAAGCTCTACTTTTGATAAATTTTGCCCACCACATTGTGTGTGTGTGATTTAGCGACGCGACAACAACAACAACACCAGCGTCTGAGAGAACGTCATCTTATGAAAGTTTATCGTTTGTCGCTGTTTCCTTATTCAAGAATGGAGTCTGTCTGAGCAGTTGGAGTGCCCAAATCGTTTGCAGCTGTGTGTGCAACTGGCTAGCATGCAGTTCTCTATGGAACCAGCAAAGAAGGCTATATACGCTGACTCGCCCCACGGGGCACACAGACACAGACAGACCGACTTTGGCAGACTGAATTCAGACTGACTGACTGACTTTTTGGCGGCACACACACTCACAGGCAAATTGGTTTGTGGGAAGGCGGCAAGCAATTCAGTCATCAGCCAGGGGCTGCCAGCGATGCAACGACTTGCTTCGACATCGCACTCTAATTTATCCATCATTGCACTTTCCTTTCACCACCACCACCACCACTCAGCTGCAGACTGGTCAATAGACTGCTCTTCTCCTTCCTCCAATTCTATTCTCTCCCCTTGAGCCCTTTCAGAGCTGACCACCGCACTGTGTCGCACTGTCGAATATCAATTTGCCTGCCACAAATTCACCGGAATTGCCACCGCCGAATGACACTGCTCCTTTTGTGTAGTGCGCCCCCCCCTGCATTTTTCCCTTTTTGTGAGTGCAAATCGATGGCTGTTTCAGCAACTGAGCAGCGCGACCTTCCACTTTGCACTATGCATCAGCCTCAGTGAGCATATTGACTCAATCGCCGCACCACCTCTGCTTCTTTGCATATCCGTCGAAGCGCGTTCTTCGATTACTGACTGGGCCACAGAAGCAGCAGCAGTACTCCCAATCAGATGAACGGGTAAACACTGTACTGACACAACGACACACACACTGTCACTGAAATGAGTCAGCACACTGTCCAGTACTCCGTTTTCGTGCCCTGCAAATGATGCCCACTTCCTCTGTGTTGACTGTTGAGTATTTCTAAATCCAGTCAGCGCT